CCCTCCCCAGCTTTCCTGGAGCCCCTTCAGGCACTGGAAGGTGCTCTAAGGTCTCCCTGGATCCTTCTCTTCTCCAGGCTGAACACAATCTCCAGTAAATCCCTGTCCCTCTGGAACTGGGGAGCCCAGAACTGGACACAAACCTGAAGTGCTCACAGCAGAAACAACCCCTGTGTGATGAGGCTTTTGATTTAGGCTTCTGAGTTGGGCTTTTGATTTGTTTTCCTCTTTGGGGACCTTTTATTTTCCCTGTGGGTTCAGCACAAGATAAACACTTGGTTGTTTTAAAATCCACTTCTGCTCTGGCCATAAATTTCAGCCCAGCGCCTTCACAGCTCATCAGGTGTTTGCCATGGCTCCTTAGGAATGGATTTATTTAAACAAAAAAACCAATAACCCATGTTGAAATCTGTTCCTTCAGGCCTTGTTTCAGAGGTGGTTTCCTGTGCTTGATGTCACATCCAGCCACGACACAGCTGAAGTCAGAGAGCAGGTGCAGGACACAGAAACAACCACCAGGACTGTTCATCAACTCCATTTCCACACCAAGCAAGATTCTTTAAATGAAGCTTCCTAGGATTCATTGCCCAGGGCTTAGAAATCTGACATTTCTGGACTGCCTGGGGATTTCACAGCTTCCAGTTGCTGGGCTGAACTGGCTTATTGCTCCTGAGCTCAGCACCAGTTTCAGCTGGAGCCCAACAGAAAACACTTCTTCCTCAGAGATGTTTAACCTCAGAACATGCAAAGCACTGGATCTCGAGATTTAAGCTCTTACTAAGGTGTTCTGCTCTGGTTTGGTGGGGTTTTTTTGGTAGAAGGGCCCCAGGGGGGGCTCCTGGAAGAAGCTGAGAAGCTTCTCCTGCCCCAAACCAGCCCAGGAGCCACCAGAGGGACAATAAATGAACCTCTGCCATGAACATCTGAGAGATGGGAGCTGAGCAGAGCTAGGAGAGGGGATCCTGGGGGGATGTTTGATTAGTGTGACATCAAATTATAATGATTTTTTTCCCCACGTTGAGTCTGTTTTGCCCAGGATCCCAATCAGTGAAGATCCCTCCTTGTCCTTTGTCTGGACCTTTGTCCTCCTGATCCCAGGGTGTGTGTGTGTGTGGGGGGGGGAGTTAAGTGAGTGACCACAGGGCTGTTCTTTGTTGTTTTGGGCCCAAAACCCACCACACCAAGGTAAAAAATGAAACTGCTCCCTTAAAAACCATCCCCAGATCTCTTTGCTCACTGCTTAGATGCTCAGAAAAATGAAACTCTCACCACAGTCACTTTCCCTGGGTGTCCTTATAAAACCTGCACAAAGTCCAAAGTTCCCATTTTTACCTACAAGGGGCACTGAAGAAAAATCATACCAAGAAAAGCACCAACAATGACAAAATGGACTCGACCTGCTGGAACCCCAGCAGCCCCACACCTGAGACCTTCCAAGCACTTTGCAAGCCTGTCTCTATACCTGAAGAGACACTTACCTATCTAAAACCCCCCCAATGCTGCCTGCCAGGCTTCCTGCAAAGCTTTTGGCCCCCCCCTGGGGGGGGGTTGCAGCTCAAAACAGGACTTGGCAGGAGAAACTTCCAGTGTCAGGAATTCCCAAGTGCGTTTTTCCAAGTGCAATTCCCAAGTGCACGTGTCAAACTCCCAGCAGGTGTTCCCAGTGTTTTCTCTCCAGGAAGAACAAGCACTGGAACCACTTCAGGAGGAAGAGACCCAGCAGCTTTCAGGAGGGTTTTTTTCAAAGGGGAGATGGATTTAAAATAAGCTGGGAAAAAAACCCCAAAATAACCTGTTTTTCCTTTTTTTTTTCTGATTATTTGAACCTGCCAGAGAAAACACAACCAAGTGAGATTTTACCTCCTTTTTCAGGCAGGGCAAAGCTGAGTCTGGCAAGCTGAAGCAGCACCAAAAATGTGCCTTTTTTACACTTTGGATCCCTTCAAACCCACCCCAGTTTGAAGGAAACAGCACCAAAAATGTGCCTTTTTCCCACTTTGGATCCATCCAAACCCACCCCAGTTTGAATTACACCTTTTCTTTCCCCTCCTCTTTCATTTTACAGGGGTGCCAGAGGGTGGGCATGAAAACCCAGCCCCCCCTGCCAGCCCTGAGGTCCTTTTTTTTTCCCTAGGAACACGCCTAGGAAATTAAAACCATTTGAGTTAATGAGGATAATGGGATTCAGGCAATCTGGAAGTTAATTGCCAACTGATTTGCTGGGGATTTGTAACCTGCCTGCTGTGAAAAGAGCCCTGTGTGTTAAACCCGGGGGGGTAGAACTCCCAGAATGGCATTTCCTGCAGAAATATTCCAACTTTCCCACTTTTTCTTCTTTTTTTTTTCAAGCTGGTTTTACTTTAAACCTCGAAGTTTGTGCTGCCCCGTTTATAAAATAATTATACATTTATAATTTATAATTATAACAATGGATATTATTGTAACAATTTATATTATTATAATTCTAAACGATATAGTAATTATTATATAATAATATAAATAATATTAATGTATTAATATTAATTTATAATAATATAAGTTATTATAACGCAATATTAATGTATT